ACCAGGTGAAATTCAGAATCAATATTGATTCAGAACATCAATCCCAAATTAATGCATTTGGAACAATCTGTTCTTACTCCCATTCACATAATGAAATTTGCCTTTGACTGGAATGGGAGTAGCATTGGGCTCCCTGCAACTGCTGATTATACATGTCAATACTGGGCTGCGTTTGAAAAATGCTGTATTATGTAGAAGAATGAAAAATCATGGAGCTGTGAGGCAACAAGACAACATAATTATATGGATTACAAGAGAAATACAAAGCAAAATGTAGTACTACATACTAATAGCCTGTTTCAGCCTTGCCTCGTGATAACTGGACCTTTGTTCTATTTAATTTGGAATTAAAGTTAAATCTTTATTTATTTTCCTGATTGTGGCCTTGTTCTGAGCGTTCATAACCGAGAAGACGTTGTTGACATGACTGAGCAGGATATTGTCTTTGATTAAACCCACTTTGGAGACTTCTGACGCCAATTGCTAACATGCTTGAAGTCCCAACAGGGCTGAAAATCTAATATCAACATGAACTTAGAAAAATATCCCTGTGTTTTTCCCTAAACAAGAAAACACTGCCACCCTGCCCTGGTAGATGACAAGAGGCTGAGCTATGATTCCTCCCACAACTTCAGATAAAAGAGGCTGTTACATTTTTTTCAGAAGTACCTTCATGTAACAGGATATGAAAAATTTCCTACTCCACATCCATGAAAGGATGTTTGAATGAAAGGAATAATTGAAAAATATTGTTATCTATGCCTGCAAACAAGACTCCTAGATAGCATCATGTGTGCTACTGCTATCTGAGAAAATATCAATCTTATATATATTTATCTTTAATGTGGGGGAACAATCCTAGTCTTTGTTTATATATATACAGAAAGCTGGCACAGAAATATAAAGTGACCTTTCCAATTTGACACAAAACAATAAAGGAGAGAAGAGAGCAATGTCCCAACTCTGGACTCAAACCACCTTAGAATCTCTTCCTCTAAGGAAGAATAAAGATTCTATTCTAATTATTTTTACACAATCCAGATTTTTTAAATTCTTAGTTAATAGTAGGATTTCTCAGTGGATTTCCTGTGTGGATTTCACATAGGAGATCTGTGGATTTTTCATTCTCAGACTTTAGGCTCAAAATGTGCAGCTATATTTTCTTCGAAGTAAGACCAACATTGAGAATGTTTCCCCAGATTAAATATCTAACATGCAACATGACAGAATAGTTTCCAGAGTGCAGCAATACATCTGAATGGACTTTGAATAAAATATAAGGTAAAATAAATAAATATAAGATAAAGTAAAAGGATATTTGGCAACAAAGGTCAAGTCAAAATGGCCTTATTAACAGCAGAAATAACAGTGATAGCACCTTGGAGGCATTGGAATGACTGTCTTTTAACTCACTGACAAAGATACAGAGTCTCTTGCAAAGTCTCATGCAAACGGAGGTATTAAGAGCAGTTAATGACTGAGTTGCTATTTACAGAAGGCTCCAATAAGCCTTTTCTGTTGCCCATACTTAGCCATTTCTGTTACAGCAACAACTTTCCTGCTTTATAATTAGATATTTGAGGACACGGTTTCAGAAATTCACAGGACTAAAAAAAAACAGGACTCTAGCTTATTAGCACAATCTTGTATTATTAATAGCAATTAATATACCACTCTGATCATTTTTTTAATGTATAAACATGTTAATGAACTCATTTTTACAACATTTTAAAAAGGAAACAGCACAGAGAGCACCCTCACGGCACTGTTTTACCTTACTGTTTTTCATTTCAAACGTAGATGGTAAAATCTATTAATTGGCATCTAGCTAGTAACTAGCTAGTAACCAAACTGGCAATTAGCTAATAACAGAACAACAGTGGCTCATTCTCAAACTCTGCTGATATACAGGTGAAATCCTTGGTTAGAGCCACCCTAAATTTACAGCAATTTCCTGAGAAGAGTCAGAGCTCTGATCTGTGGATAGTGGGTCTGCTGTTTTTCAAAGCCTATACTTTAAATCAGTGCTGTGCTTAGAGTAATACAACGCCAGTTACAAACAGGAAATGATATCTTTTCAATAATTAGATGGCATTTGAGTTTCCATGTTTATTTTTAGTATCAACATTGCAATTTTTAACTGTATTACATATTAAATTACTGATTCCTAAATTCTAAATCAAGACAGAGCTAAACAGAGAATAAAGGAGAATTGAAAGGAGCAGGAGGGAGGTTAGCAAAGACATGTGAGCTTTTAGAGAAGTTAAAAAAAAAAGGAAGTATGAATGAGATGGAACTGGAAAACTCACAGCTGGTTAAAATAATACACTCCTTTGTCTTAAGTGGGATTTGTGCTAGTGTGAATAATGAAGAATTTGAATATTCAGTGCAAGAGCAGGCAGATTATGGAAAGTTCAGCTACAACAAGCAAGTATTTCACCTTCGGGCAGTTGCTGAAGGTTCTGTGCAGGGGAGAGCTGCACATCTGGCTGCACATCTGCTCCTTCCTGAGGGCTACAGGTCCTCAGCCTGAGCTCGTGAGTCCTGGTCATTGCGCAGAGGGTTCAGGCTGCAGATCCTGCCTCACGCAGCCTCCCAGCTCAGCCTGTATCCTCACAGCATCATCCCACGCCAAGTGCAGCTACTCTCTGTAACGGATGGAAGCTGGTGGAAAAGGTAGTGATAAAAGGCAGCTTGGGCAAAAGGAGTGCATGGCTTCAGACATAGTTATGGTTCATGACCAGGAAAAGAAATAAGCTCAAGAAGGCGACGTAAGTGGAGAGGAAGCCTTGGAGTTCCCTCATTCCTGCACTTGCCTTTCAGAGCGCAGCTGCTCACACTTGGTCTCTGTTGCACCCACAGAACCGGCCAACATGGAAAACAGGAAGGAAAGGACAAGTGCTCTGCTCCCTAGGGAAGCTGCCTCTTCCTCCTCATCCTAACTGCCCCAGCTCACTTGGGAAAGACTTATGACCTTCTCCTCCTTCGCTGTGAAAGGAGGAGCAACTGATGGGATTGCCTCAGTGGAGCCTTTTGGAGACTTGCAACCCACCATGCTTGAAACAACTCAAATTTGCAGTTCTCAAGCTCTCTGGACTCCTCTGGGTTATTTTTATTGACCTGTGTCTTCCCTCGAGATTTAAGATATCTGGATTTTAGCTTAGGATATTTAACAAGGGAATAGATTAATCCTACTAAATGCTTGTTAGTGTAATTAACAAAATAAGGTACCTAGCTGGTTGTTATTCATTTAGGTATTCATTTAGTGAACACAGTTTGTAATATCCCCCTCATTACGTGGAACCTCATGTATGTAGTATTCTGTAAAACAAGGTAGTCAAACACAATCTTGCACTAATGACTGCAAGACAAATATCTGGCATAGGCTCATCCACAGAAGACAGGAAATTGAGAGAGATTGTAAATATTAGCAAGACTGGAAATTACCTCCTGTGGAAATTGCATGATTAGGAGCCAGGGCAGATTCAACTCCCCAAAACCATAGCTACCAGCTACTGAGAAGCAATTTAATGTTTAGTGAGTGGGTGAAGCTCAAGGCCAAAATGCTGCCAGAGAACTAAGTGGAATAAAAGTTAAATAAGGTATGTGCTTCGTTTTGGCACTGTGAAACAATTCAGCCTGTCTGCTGTAAGGGGTGGGAAGAAAATAGTTCTTGATGGTTTAGTATAAAGTGACTGCATTGTTATTTTGACTCAAAAGCACAAGTCAGTGCTCCTAAGAAAAATAAGATTCATTAATACCTTATTTGCATTTGCACTTCCTTCAAATGCTACACCAGTAGAGGGCTCCATTATCCCTCAGCACAGAAATTCCCGGGGATCAAGGAGCAGGTTTTGGAGGGCACTGGAGATGTTGCTGTAGACTAAGGTGAGACCAGGAACCGGGCTGTGTCTTTAGGGATACTTTTACAACCTTAGAGTGGATGGTTCCAAAAAGTTGGACTAATACTATTCAAATATTTTTATCTGAAATGCAATGAGCAAATGCCAAAGGTGTTTGCTCCGTTCACTCCAGCAGCCATGGCACAGAAGTCCTGGTTTGCAAGAAGAACATGGGTTTCAGAGCCAGAACTTGAACCATCCAGCACTTAGAGCATCCATTAAATCTGTCTCCTGGCTCCTCATGTTAGCAACTCCAGAGGCACACGTGTTCTGCACACTCACAGCGACGTCCTGACCAGAGGCTGAGCAGCCACTTACCAAAATGACTTGGAGTTCACTGAGCAGGAACACAATAGACGTATAGGATGGTTCTGAAAAGAGAGGAACAATATTTCGCACCGATTGAAACGCAGGTGCAGAGCTGTCCTTGTACAATGAAGCTACTGGAGCAGGCTGCAAATTATTTAGAGGTGCTCAGAGAAGCGCAAGAACTTTAAGGAAGGAAATCATAGAGGAAAATACTGTGGTAACATTGCTGCAGTGCTGACTGTGCAAGTCACTGAAATACTGTATTAAGCACGTTTTAAAAAAAAAAATAAAGCGATAAAAAGTTGGAGTTCTTTTTGCTTCAGCTGATGCACATCCTCTGAGGATGTAAAGCTCAAACTTTCGATGTTTTCCCTCTGTTATCCCGAGGGCGAGAGCCTCCCTGTCGGGAAAGCCTTTCGGATGCTGCACGCCGGTGGGAGCTACGGCTTTGGGGGAGCTCTGGGTGCCGGGGGCCCCGCGGGAACGCTGAGCGCGAACCCCCGCGCTGCCCCCCCGCCACCCGGCCCACGCGCTAACACGGAGCCCGTGGGGTCCCGCCACGAGCCCCCCGGCCGCGCTGCCCAAGGGACAGCGGAGCCCGCTCGGCGGCTCCCGGGGCGGCCCGGCCGGGCGCGGCGCCCGCCGCCTTCTGGCACGTTCCGCGCGAGCCCCGCGCCGGCTCCCGCGGCCCCGCCGCTGCGCCCACCCCCTCGCCTTCCCCTCCCCTTCCCCTGCCGGTCCCTCCTCCCCGGCGCCGCCGGCCGTGCCCGCCTCGCTCCCCGCCCCGGCTCAGGGGCGGCTGCCGCTGCCGCCAGCCGGCGGCTCCGCCAACATGTCCGAGCGCGGCGGCTTCTACCGGCAGGAGCTCAACAAGACGGTGTGGGAGGTGCCGCAGCGCTACCAGAACCTCACGCCCGTGGGCTCCGGCGCCTACGGCTCCGTGTGGTAGGTGCGGGCCGGGCGGCGGCAGGTGGCAGCGCTGCGGACAATGCGGGCGGGCGGCGCCGCTGCCCGCGGGCCGCGCCGTAACCCGGGCAACCGGCCCCGCGCGGCCGTTGCGGCCGTTTAACGGCTCCCGCCCCGCGTGCGCGCCCGTTGCCCCCGCGCCGGGAATGCTGCGCAGTCATGGCGTGTGCCGGGGAGGGGGAAAGGGGCGAGCGCGCCTGGTCCTGGCGCCTCAGCCCGCTCCCTGAGCGCGGAACCGGCACCGGGCGAACCGGCACCGGCCGCGGCCGCGCGTGTCCCCCGCGTGTCCCCCGCGTCCCGGGGCCGCGAGCGAGCGACGCGTTGGCGCGGGGGGTGGCACCGTCAGTCAGGGCACAGGTTGCACCGTAAATTAGGCCCGAGGGCTTGGGAGCCTCAGCCCTGCGTGAGGATTTGCCACGGCTTCTCGTTGTAAAATACTTCCCTTTTTCTTCCTTTTTTTTTTTTTTTTCTTTTTTTTTTAATAATTAGCTTATCTACTGTGAGAGCCCCTGGCACGCTAAGCTCAAGCTGTTGTCTTCGCATTTGGCGCACGCTTCGCTGTGTTTGTAAAAGCCCTGAATCAATTTCTGGAAATAATAGTAATGTTTAAGGGGGTTCTGACAAGGAATCATGATTCTTTTATAAGCTAGCGGAGTGGAATAATGTGGGAAAAAATCTATATGGGCTTTTAATGAGGTGTGCTACTAAAGAAAAAATATTTCTTCAGAATTTCCCAACTTTTTACCGTTGACTAAACTTGTGAATAGTTGTTTGCACTTTTTTCTCTTCATGGGCAGATGCTGGAGAGTGAAGTTTCTTATTGTTTACTTGCCTTCCCTGGTGAGAAATGCCTCAACTATATGTAAGAAAAGGGAGAAAAAATATATATATATCTATGTACACCTATGTGTATATTTATATATATGTATGTATGTGTTCTTATTACTACATATATATATATAAACCTCCAACAATCGGCATAACACTCGGGGCTATCACCTGGGAATTTTTCTCTTTTTTTTTTTTTTTTTTTAATTATTTCAGGTTTCTGCTTTCCCTGGAGAGCTCTAGGGAAGTGCTGTGTGAGATTGGCATTGTAATTCAGGGGCACAGACCGGGTTTATGCAGTTGGTGTGAATAGCTTTGCAGAGACCTAGTTTGTTTAGGCTGTAAACTTCTACTTTTCTTTCTCGTCTATTGTTTTGGGAATTCAGAGCTGAATATACAGCATGACAAGCATAGGAATTTCCTAACTAAGCCTGCATTTCTGATTGTTTTTTGTGTTTATGCTTAAATAGTTTCAAGGTGAAAACGAACTCTGCTGAATTTTGTAATGAGATAGCAAGACTTTTGAGAACTTGTGAAGGAAATGAAAACATGTGGTGGGTCACTTGAAGTCCAGCTGGTGATTTCTCTTTTTTTTTTTATTTTTTTTTTTTAAATAATTTACTCTGGTAGTGTTGCTCATTGTGCTTACTTTGTGCCTGAGAAGCCAAGGAAAAACTCATATGTTATTAGTGAGGAAACACAGGAGCTGGGATACAAAATACAGGGAAGAAGCCATGGGAAAGGTTGACTTTAAAATATACATTTAAGAACAGCTTATAGTAATAAAGTATTGCTCTACATTAATAGTCCTGTTAACATCGATGAACTACAAACTCAAGCAAAAGCCTGAATGTGAGGAAAAGGTTTACATATGTCTCAGAAAAGCTCTCTATCTTTAGTGCCTATGGAAATTGATTTCTTTATATATGCACATGCTTCTCCCAGGAGACACAGCCATTCCCTTGAGTAATGTGCTGTATAGTTTTGGTGAATAATTGTGCTCCTGTTCGGTAATATACTTAAAAACTTACTTAAGTCTTATGGAAACCAGTGAAATCTTTATTATTGTTGTTGTTATTATTATTATTATTATTATGTTTTCTAAGTATTTTTAAATGCTTTGCATAGCAGAAGCCATAGTCCCAAAGTCCTGATACTGGTTTTGAAACAAGAACAAAGTTTCTGTAATAATTTTTTTTCTACCACAGTGTCAATCTTTTATAGTCTCTCCCTTTCATTTGTGACTGTAAATTCAGTCATATCCATAGACTTGTGCAACTAAAGTGGTATACGTTATAAAGAAACATTATGTAAATATTTGCATTTAAGCAATCTCCTGCTTGCCCTTTCTCTGCACTTACTTCAAAGTCAATATAATAATACAGATATCAAAGACACTGGTTCCCAGTAGACTTTCTTCTTTTTCTTTTTAAATTTAAATAAGGTGTATGTATAGAATACAGAGCCTCCCTGGTACAAAGACTCTCCTTTTCAGATCCTTTTTTATGACACATCATTAAAAAAAAAAAATCCTTCTTGAAAATCCTTGGAAGGACGTGGCCACGCCGTCAAGTGGCATTGCACGTTAGTGTCCATGTGAACCGCACGAAGAAGTGCCAAGTCATCCCTCCCAGTATTCGTGGTGCATTTTGCCTCATGGGTCTTTTGTAGAGGTCTCCTTATCCCCATTTCTCTCCTATAGCCACTCAGGTTGGGAGTTATTCTGTAATTTGCTGCTGCTTAATCTCATTTTGTGACTTTTGATTCATTCTTCAACTTCACTATTGATTCCCCCACTCTTTTTTCTTTATAATAGAAAATTTTCTTAACCTGAACCAAAACTCAATTAAATAGTTTAATCTAATTGTCTTTTTTGATAAGTGCACTTGCACAGCTTTCAACCCTGAAGCAGAATTTATCTTTCGTTGAAGTGAACAGGCTGGTTGGCTTCTGTAGAGCAGATGTTGTCCCTGATAATGGTGAGTTTTGAGAATATTTTTGTTTTTAAGGGTGATATTTAAGTTGGTTGCCCCTTAGATGTGAAGCAAGCAAGCTGACTTTCTCAAAATAACTTTCATCTGCCTTTATCTCTTTTCAAGCCTAGGAGAGAGAAAAAAAATTGAATTGTTCTCAGGTCAAATTGCCTTTTAAACGCTTGTCCCCCTTGACTGTACCTCTTAAATGATAATTCTGGCTGTGTTTGAGTCTTTGAACTACTCTGGTCATGCTGCTTGTAAACTGGATCTGTGGCTGATGCATCTCTGCCTCACATCCATATTACCCTGACAGATCCAATAGAGTTTTGTATCCCTAAGACTCCTCCTTTGGGAGCTGGTGTTAGCACCTGACTGAAGTGATGCAGAAAGAGCAGCTGCTTTTATTTTTAAGCCATTATTTACCCCAAATTGTGCAACGCACATAGCAAAAGGGGTTTATTTTGTTTTAATTTTCTTTTTAAAGCCTGTATATCTCTCTCTTTCAACTTTTTTGAATTGTCTTCCATCCTACTTGGAAGGTCCGGAGAACTTTCTGCAGCCTGCCCTCTGTGAGCTCTCCCAACAGGTTGTTTCTCATTAGGACAGCAAAAGTGCTTTCTTTGCAGAGAAAAACCAGATTGCAAGATTAACAGAACTGAGGCAAGAGCTTCTTTCTTTTCTTTTTTTTTTTTTTTTAATGAACAGAAACCTCCTCAGAAGCCTTTGGCATCAATAGTGCTTTCTCTGTGCTATTTTTCCCTTACTTTTTGGTTTCTGTCCTGCAATCTCCTTTAATTTCCAACTGTGTGTTCATGTGGTGCCTAACACAGACCTCAGGTAATAAATGTATAAAGAAGTGCATGTTAAAGAAAGGTATCCTGCTAACTTAAACTGTAATTATACAAGCCTTAATTCAGGAAAGCAGGTAATCATAGTCTGTCTTAAATTAGTCACTCAATGCAGCACTTAAACAGGTCCCTACATCCCACCATCTTTAAGTGCATACTTAAGATCCATTACTTTTGTTTTCCTGGCTTATCCTATGTGAAAAAAACAATAAATCTTGTTTTTTTCAGGCTATTGTTTTACTTTAAGGAAGTACAAGTGGAAAAGTAGAAGTGGAAAATGTTAGGATTCAGTTTAAACCATTCATTTCCCCACCACATCCAATCTTTGGATTTCTGGTGGGATTTTAACTCGCTTTTTCAGACAAAGCAAGACTACTGATAGTGTCCCTTTCCAGTTAAGAACCTCCAAACAAGTGCTAAGGCAAATCAACAGGATGTGGAAGTTTTTAAAAAACTCATATAAATTGTCTTTGATGGAAAAAGAGAAAAATTCCAGATCTAGGATTTTAGTTAGTAATGTCGATGAAAATACAGAGGCTAAACTCTGTCCTAAATATAGTTACAGTGATACATGATTGGAAACATAGCATCGAGCAATGTTAACACTTAGCTGCTGTCAAAGATCTATTAAAGTTGCCTGTTTTTTTGATATGCATCTTCTAGAAGTAAATTCTTGAAGATTTTGGTTGTTTTGCACGGAGACCCTTTGAGCTACAAACACTTTGCAAACTCAATGCAAGCTTGGAATATCATCTCTTCATGAAGCTGTTCAAGTCTGCCCAGAGGCAGGACACCTTGCAAGAATGTGTAAGTTTAATAATCATCCTAGCAAGCACGACCTTGAAAGTGAGCTTGCTCTAGGGAGTTGCAGTGGGTAAAAGGGCTCACATGGTCAAGTTACAGGTCAGGAGAAGGATCTTTACAGCAGCATCACAAGAATGAGCAGATGAACATGGATATAGCAACAATGCAGAATGAGGAAGACTCTTAGAGAAACGCGATGAAGTAGCAATGGTGATGTAGTTGCAATGGGGTTTGCAGGGACGGCAAGAATTCGAGAATGTGTCGAAATTGGATGAAAGAAGGGAGAAAATGGAAGAGCTTTGGCCAGGGAAAAATCCCTAGAGTGCAGGGAGGGAGGGTGTTTTTTGGAGCCTTTGGAAGGGGGTTGGTTTGCTTGGAATTCCTTTTGTCCAGTTTCATTTTGCATCTTTCCCAGTTGTTGAAACAACCTAGTCACTGGCTTTGGAAGGGAAATGGTAATTGGTGAAGTCAAGGTCCATATTTAAAATGAAAGTAAGAATTATTTTATTGGAGAAGACAAAAG